GCTTAAATTCACACTTTAATTTACATAGGTTCCTTTGTAGACAAGCCCTCATTGGGTTTGGTGCAGGTTCCTCAAAGGTATTTCGGGTCCTAACTTTAACTGAAATCAATGGGAGCTAGAAGCCTAAATACCTTTAAGGATCTGGGCCTTTGTCCTTGATGGGCAGCAGATATAATGGGCCAGGGGTTGCTAAGCCTACCCTAACCCAGGCCGGGATCCGGCCCATGCGCCGCCCCAACCAAAGCCCCACCCTCATTCCCCCTCTCCCTTGAAGCTGGCAGGGGCTTAGCTCAACCCAGTGGCCTGGAGCTCAGGGCAGCTGGGGCGGGTGGGCCGGTGCTCAGGCCAGCCGGCGGTCCAGGACTCAAGGTGCCGGTGGCCTGGGACTCAGGGCAGCTGGGGTAGGCCAGCTGGTGCTCGGGCCTGTTCGTCCAGGGTACGGTGGGTGAGGGGGTGGGGTTCGGACTCCAGTGGGTGAAGGAGAGTAGAAGGGGGGTAGGAGCGGGGCCTTGGGCAGAAGGGGTGGGGCCAGGGGTCTAGCCTCCCCAAAGCGGGGGTTCTTCTTTGAGTGCTTGTTCCTGTCCATTCCAATCAGGTGTGTGTGCGCGCACGTGCATGGTGGCCGGATGATTTTTCCCATAGCAGCATCTGTCGGGTCGGTCTGGGCATCCCCTGGAGTCGCGCCTTCATGGCACCTAATATACAGCCCTGCCGATGCACCACCCCTTCAGTTCCTTCTTACTGCCAGTGGCGGTTAGCTGGAACTTCCTGTAGCTCTTGCTTAGCAAGCACATTCTATAGTTCTCTGTATATAGTTACCGTAGTTATTATTAGTAATTAGAGTTTTTAGTAATTAGAGTTGTTGGGTGTCCCCCTGCCCATTCCGACTCCCCAGAGCCATGGTATGCCATGATCCTTGGGGTTTGAAAACTGTGTGGCCTGCGCGAAGCACATGCCAAAGAATGATCCACACTCCTCGTGTTTACGGTGCCTAGGGGAGGGTCACCAGAAGGATCGCTGTAAGATCTGCCATGAGTTCCGCCCTAGAACTCTTAAAGAAAGGGAACCGTGGCTTAAGGTGATCCTCATGGAGTCAGCTCTATGCCCCCATTTCGAGTTGGGCTCAGGGGACTCGGCTCCTAACACATCGTCCTCGCTGCGGAGCGCCCCAGCACCATTGTCAAGCTTGGCACTGGGAAAAGACTCGTCCCAGGACACTCGGCACGGCACCTCAGGAGGCCCGGCGGAGAGCAGGTACCCATCCCACTCTCCAGTGCCTCAGAAGAAAAAGAAGCCAGACAGCCAGTCACCTCCGGCTAAATCCAGAGATGTGAGACCCCAGGCAGGCCACAGGTCCAGATCCCCTACTAGGACTGCGTCGACTCCTGCTCAGGCAAGGCAGTTGAGTCCAGGTCCCCCATGCTCACCGGTCCCTACAGGCCAGCAGCTACCGCTCCCTTTAATGCTGGAGGCTTTCGAAGCTGCTTGGGACCTGCTGCACCTTACAGCACCGTTTTCGCCCCCGAGGAGGAAAGAACCTCCAGTGCTGGCTCACCCTGCCCCCAGGTGCAGTTAAGAGGGAAACCAGCCATGATGTCCAGGCGCTCCCCCCTCCATGTCCCTCGGCACCAGCCCACTCGTCATCAACCTCAGCATCTATCTCGGCATCACTGACTCACCTGACTTCGGCGCAGGCACTGATATCAAAGCCGACTACAGTGCAGCCATCAATGACCCTGGCGCTGATGCCGGTGACAGGCCCACCATCTTCGTCGGTGCAGACAGGAAGATCGGCACCAGCTACATCGACAGTTCCTCCGGTCTCACTGATGGTGGCACCAACACCGGGTTTGGCGTCTATAGCCCCAGCGCCAACAAGCGCCCCATTGGCACCGACACTACTCCGAGAGTCGTGGGATCTCGTGGAGGCAGATGGCAGGGAGCATCTGCTCCTTATAAGCGCTTCCTCCTCATCATCGCCAGATGAGGCATTGGCAGGCACAGCGGTAGCTCCAGTGCTTGAGGACAACAGGGTGCTGCAGCAGTTGCTGTGTAGGGCTGATTAGGGTCTGGGCATTAAGCCAAGGACATAGTCGAGCAGGCTGATCCCATGGTGGACATCCTCGCCCCCTCAGGACCTTCTTGTATTGCCCTTCCACTGATTAAAACTATTGTGGACACCACCAAGACCCTGTGGCAGACCCCTGCTCCCTTGCCGCCCACTGCCAAGCGCAATGAGAGGTGTTATTTCGTGACCTCCAGAGGGTACAAACATTTATACTCCCACCCACACCCTGACTCTCTTGTTGTGGACACTGCTAACCAGCGTGAGCGGCAGGGATTCCAAGGGCCTTCCCCCCAAAACAGGGAGGCTAAGCGAATAGACCTTGTTGGCAGAAAGGACTATTCTACAGGGGGACTGCAGCTCCATACTTTGAACCAGCATGCCACCGTCAGCAGGTACTCGTATAACACCTGTGCAGTGATGGGACAAATTTCCAGAGCTCCTCCCTTCGGACTCCCGAGCTGAGTTCTCGGCCTTGGTGGAGGAGGGGAAGCTAGTCTCCTGGGATTCCCTCCAGGCTGCATTGGATGGTGCAGATGCTGCCACTAGGGTCATGGCTACTGGGGTGGCAATGAGAAGGGGCTCCTAGTTCCAAGTCTCAGGGCTCCCTTAC